ATATATATATATATATATATATATGTATATATATGTATATATATGTATATATATATGTATATATATATATATATATATGTATATATATGTATATATATACATGTATATATATGTATATGTATATATATATATGTATATATATATATGCATGTTTCTTTTGGATGTTTACCCCTTTTTTTTATTATTACTGTAAAGAGAGGCCTGCTTTGGTTGTCATAATCAGGAAAATACATGTGATATAGCTTTGAAATGTTATCTACTATTGAAAATGTTAAAAAAATTTAAAGTGGAAAAAGAAAAGCAAGGTCTAACGGGAGGGTCTGAGGTCAAAGGTCGGGCTGGAAATACTCCAGCTGAGGTTGGAAACTGCTGCTGACTCACCGTCACTAAAATCCTCGTGCGCCAGACGGATGAAGGAGAGATTCGCTCTTTTTCTGTCACGTTACGAGGACAAAGTGTGATTTGGTGAATTTGTTGATCAAAGATGGCTAAAACGTTTTTTCTCAGGTTCGAGATTTGTTTGATGGGGTTTAAATGAAACAGTTGGTCACGTTTTTTTGTTTTCAGACCACTGCATCCTGGGAAAGACTGACTTTTTTCTAGTTTTTGTTTTTATCACCCTGAAGATCAAAGTCGAATAACAACATTTCAGTAAATGTTACCAAAACCCTTCTGAACCACTGGATGAAATTTAATGAAACTTGCAGAAAGTAATCATTGAGCGTTATCCTGATTCAAGATGGCCGCCACAGCCACTTAACCTTAGAAGAAAAAAAGGAAAAACTAACTCCGTCAGTTTTACAAATACTGAGTTAAGGGTTAAGAGATTTTGCATAAACATCGTCATTAATTATCTGGAGTCAACTCTGTCTGTTAACAAAATATCTCATGAACCACTGAGCGGATTTGAATGAAACTTTTAGGATACAATCACTGAATACACCTCTGAAACTGATTGTCGGAGCCACCCCAATTCAAGATGGCCGCCACAGCCAGCTGACTTTAGAAAACATAAAAATGTTCTAACTCAGCCTTTAATTTTGTTCCAGCATGCGTTGAACCTTACAGGAAGCAGCTTTATTAAATATTAAGGGAGGTGCGTGTTTGTCCCTGCAGTGGTTTGACGTGATCCCTCAGCAGGATGTGTATTTAAAAAAAACACTTTGTTGCACGATTGTGTCTTTTATATCGGACCGCGGGGGTCCAGCTGGTTACGGCATTCACTCTCGGCATGGATCAATTTGGAAAGCGTTTAGTTTGTGAACATTTTACATCCAGATTCCAGGAAAAGCAGCCGAGTAATCAATATTAATAAAACAAAAATGTTTGTTTAATGAGGAGAAATCAGACAGATGTGCTGCGGGTACATACAGATGTTTGAGATCCCTTTTATTTTGCGACCAGATGTTCTGCACACAAATGCTTCGTGTAAGGCAACAAAACGTTCAGTCACGTTGAAATCAGACATCTTCTGTCAACTCAGAAACAAAAGCGAGAGCAAATCCAGCCCAGCTCGACGTGCGCTCACTGGATTAGAGAAAAACGAGCCGCAGTTTGTTAAAACGTCAAAACCAATCCGTGCTTCACATTCACAAACGCTACTCTCCCATGTCTCGCTCTCCTTTCTGCAGCCTCAAAGCTGAAAACATGCATGCACACACTCACAAATGCACACGTATTTAACACATAAATTCAGAGGAAAACGAAGCATTGGGAACAAAGTTCCTGTACACAGAAAATTACAGATAAAACATTCTATCTTAGCTTCCTTTAGCGTGTAATCAGTGCTCTCGCCGCGGTTAATCCGCCCGAAATTCATCACATTTCAGCCACGGCTCATTTCAAAGTGATGAATTGACCCAAATAAGGTTAAGGTGTAATTATCTTCTTTTTTTTTTTTTTTTTTTTTAAGCAAAAGTAAAAATAATGCCCATTCACCCCTTCGATCAAAGAGGAAGTGCACTTTGGTCGACAGAAAAAAAAAATTAGCTGCTCATTTCAAACTGTAGCTACGCTAACAGAGTGCCACGATACGACCAAACGACTGGCTGGCTCGGAAAATTAGAAGCAGTTCTGAAAAGCTGCAACAGAATAGAACAAATTAAAAAACTACATGTAATAAAGGGATAGTTCAGGTTTTTTTCAGACGGACGAGCTAATGGCTCGTCCTCGTGGGACCAGGACCAAAGTGGATCACCGCCATCTTTAAAACGACTCAAATCTCAAAAGCTTCATCGCAGCCTGAGCAGAAACATATTCCTGTCAGGTGTCGCTACAACTAGCTGCTGCTACCATCTACAAATACCCACAGAATTTTATGTAAATAAAACATGTTTATAAAATAATCCTCACATGAACAATTATAAGTTTCTGAGTCAACTTTAATCTTGGCCTTGCTAGGACTAGCCATTATCTTGTCATTCTGGTCAAAATTAAACTATTTCTCCAACTGAGCTCTTATTTTAAAAAGCTATCTACAACAGGTAAGATACTGATTGTTCATAACAGTACCCCACTTTAAAAGAGCTGAACTATCTCTTTATTTAAGTAAATAAGATCAGTGGCACTGAGGCTCAGATTGTACAGACACAGTGAAGTTCAAAATGGCATCTTCTCCCTGTTGGCTATAAAATCACTTTATTTCATTCATAAATAATTCTCTAATGAAATGAAATCCGAAAGAATCTTCAACTCCTCCTTTTTCAAACCGCACACCATCTGCAGAGACCTCCAGCTGAAGCTTTGGGTCTGACTCACACGGTGTTGGTGCAGTTGGACCGAGAGCCCCCGTACTGCAGGACGCTTGGACCTGACGGGGTTCTGCTCGGGTTTTCGTTGGTGCCTCGAAGTCCTGAACTGGGACCTGCAGAGGAGACGCTACCCCCATCGCCAATGCTACTGGAGGAGGAGGGGCTGCTGTCGGTTTGGGACAGGGACTGAGAGGATTTGAGTGGACGGTGGAGGCGGTGAGCGTCGAGCATCTCCAGCAGCAGGTCGTACAGCGGCACTTTGTTCTTGCACTTCATGCTGTACAGGTGCTCCATGCCTTTGTTGCTGCATGGAAGGAACCAGAAAGGATCAGTCAAGTCAGCTTTAATTACAAAGCACGTTTAAAACAGCAGCTGTTATCAAAGTGCTTAACAGTAAAATCATTGCGAGTAATTTCATGGGGAAAAAAAGTAACAATAAATTTAATGACAACACTGAAAATTAATTACAAGCATCAAAAGAAAAACAAACGCAGAGCAATAAAATACTAAATCAAGTCACACTGTGTAAAAATCCAGGGAAAACTGATGTGTTTTTAGCAAATATTTAAAAACTGGAAGTGTAAGTAGCCTGCTTGATGTTGGGGGGCAGATTGTTCCAAAGTTTGGGGCACATGACTGAAAAAGTTGATCACCTCTGAGCTTCAGTCTTGTTTCTGGAACAACCAAAAGCAGCTGATCAGATGATCTCAGGGCCCGAGAAGGAACATATGGTTCCAGTAGCTCAGAGAGATATGAGGGTGCAAGGCCATTTATGCACTTAAAGGTTAGCAAGAGAATTTTAAAATCAATTCTGGTACGTACAGGGAGCCAGTAAAGGGAGGACAAAACTGATGTGATCATCAAAACTAAGAGTACCAGGACTCTATGGGGAGCGGTGGCGCAGAGGCTAGAGAAGGTGGGCCTGTGATCGGAAGATTGCCGGTTCAAGCCCCGGCACTGACAACATCAATAAAAAATGTGGGTGGGGTAAGTGCAGCACCCACACCTAACCCCCATCTGCTCCCCAAACAGGTCTCTCTTGAAAATGAGTTCTCGTGGCTCATTGAGACTACCTGTATAAATAAAGGGTAAATGAAAAAAAAAAAAAAAAGAGTACCAGGACAAGCTGGAGACGTGAAATAGAGACATGGCTGACCCCAACATCAAGTGTGTTACAGTAGTCCAGTCTGGTAGTGATAAAGACATGGACTAGTGTTTCAAGTCAGATCCTGACAACACTGACTTAAGCTTAGCTATCTGCCTTAACTGGAAGAAGTTTTTTTCTGCAGAACAGAGTTGATTTGTTTATTAAACTTAAAGTCAGAGTCTAAAACCATCCCAAGAGTCGTAACAGACTGCTTAAGATATGGCTGAAGAGAGTCCAAGTTTACAGGATCAGAGACAGCAGTAGAGCTAGGGCTAAACACGACTTCAGTCTTCTAATCATTAAAACTTAAAAAATTTGAAGCTATCCATGCCTTAATGTCGTCAAGACATTTTAACAGAGGGTAAATGGAGCAAGAACTATTTAAGGTAACTTTTAAGGGCAGATAAATCTGACAATTATCAATGTAACAGTGAAATGAAAGACCATGTTTCCTCAGGATTGACCCCAAAGGGAGTAGACAGAGTGAAAACAAAAGAGGTCCAAGAATTGAGCCCTGTGGGACCCCACAGGAAAGAAACACTGACGCAAATACACTATTTCCAACCTTAAAACAGGAACTCCTGTCACTTAGGTAAGAATGGAACTGTTCTAATGCTGCACCTGTAATCCTAACCCAGTGTTCCAACCTCGATATAAAGATACTATGGTCAACAGTATCAAAAGCAGCAGGAGTACAAGTATCGCAAACTGACCAGAATCATTTGCTAACAGAATGTCGTTACAAACTCTAACTAAAGCTGTTGCGGTGCTGTGTAACTGTTTAAAACCAGACTGAAAGAGTCCGGTTTATGACTTTATGACTTAAAACTCTTCTCTGGACTTCTTCAGGATTTCTTCTTCAGTATGTGAATGCTGAGTCAACTAACTTTAGCTAAAGAAATCTCATAAACTCACTTTGCATTATAACATTTACAAGATTTTTATCTCTTAGAATTAAATTACATTAATACTTTGTCAGATGATTTACTTATTGCATGGTGAAAACTAATAAAAGTAGGTTTAAGGCTAATGTGTTTTTATCCCTCCAGGTGTTTGTTGTGCTACTAAATACTAAATACGGTTCAGCTAAACACTGGTTCCCGACCCTGTTCCTTGAGGAACACCATCCTGCATGTTTTAGTTTTGTCCCTGCTCCAACACACCTGATTCAGTGATTTAATTACTTCCTCTCGTTCTGCAGAAGCCTGTTAATCACCCATTTATTAAAATCAGGTGCGTCTTAGCAGGAAACAACTAAAACATGCAGGATGGTGTTCCTCAAGGACCAGGGTTGGGAACCCTTGAGTTACAATAAGCTTTTAACTACAATTTTATCTGCTTGTTTCATATTTAACAATTTGAGTTTTTACTGTATTTCTAAATAAAATGCATTTAACTACAGACAATGACAATTAGGTTTCTCAACAGATTTGTGTTTACAAAGGGAGATCATTTGATTTTATTATATTTAGCAACAGTACGTCTGGGTTTTTTTTTTTTTTTTTTTACTTCAATAAGGTCTATAATTGTCAGGAAATGTGACCTGTGCTGGCAAAACAGGTCATAAAGAGGAGATTTTGTCCATATTGAGGCAATATTTTGTCATTCTTTATCTCAAAAGCTTCAAAATGATACGTAGTTTATTAAAATGTGGCTATTTATCACCTGACTTGACAACAAGCTATGATTCTTATTGGTATGCGTTCAAGCATCAAGCTTTTCTAAAACCCACTGCAAAAACCAAACTGCAGCTCTGCAAAGTTCTGTAAAGCTTCGGAACTGAGTTTTTTTTTTTTTTAGAATAACTTGAGACGACTGTCGAAGTTGTTAAATCTGATGAAGGTTTGGGGCCTCGTCTACCTCATGTGTCTGATGTGGGACAGCAGCAGGAGCAGCTGGGCCTGTCGTCTCGCCTGCTCTTGAATCGAGTATCCCGACTGGCTGATGTGGTGTATGAGCGCGTCGGTGATGGTGTCCAGCATGTTCTGCACCGCCGCTCCATCGTGAAGAGGCTCCATTGTGCCGGTGCAGAAAGAAAAGGCACCTAGCAAAACAAACCCACCGGTTTACCGAATATTCTCCAACTTCTCAAACAAGACATTCTGGTTAAATCCGAAGCGGAAACACAAACTGCACTCAGTTTTTTTATTTTTTTATTAGAAGTTATTAAATGTGACTCATTTAGTCAACAGTAGACATTTAGGATGCAGGATCATCAGGAACTAATCAAAAGTTCATCATGCTCCAGCAGCTGAGCAGTCAGTCTCATCCCGCAGGTATTTTAGTCTTCTCCGTTTCCTATATAAAATGTCTCAACCTCCACGACAAACACACACACCCACCCCTACGCTGTCTCATGCTGCCATGGCAACCGTTATCAGGCATATTGACGCTACAGGTCTTTCCAGAACACTCTGTTCGTCTAATGTGTCGGAGCAGCTCTCAGAGCTACACCTCTGTGGGCGGATTTTGACACCGTTCAATATTTACTCTCGGGAGCAGAGACAGAAAGCTGCGATGTAAACAAAACTGTGAAACTTTTGGAGCTTTTATTTTTAATTGGCGAAACTCCCCCAATGCAGATTCGCTGTGGCGTTTCACGTTAGGTCAAGGTTTCAAGAGAAGGGGCTCAGCCTCACCAGAGTTGAGCAGGATGATGGCTTTAAGGCAGACAAACTCCTCGGGTTTCAGTTTGAGCATGCGGAACCGAGAAGAGGTGGCGAGCAGCATGTCGAAGATCTCCGTCATACCCTCAACGCAGTCGCCTTCGCTCCTGCAACGCAGAGTTTACATTAAAAATAAAACACAGAAATGAAGAATATGAAAAGTCCGTGACGATGAGGAAACTGGAGCCAGAGTTCGGCTCTGCAGCAGGGAGAAGAACGTGACGCAACCGAAGCTGTGAAATCTAAAAAAAAAGTGGGCAAATTAACAAGTAATGCACCGAATCGCTGCGACGTGCCATTTGCCAGCACGGCTGAAAAGTGAGGCGAAGATGGGTAATATCCAGTTCCTTCAGTGCGAGATAAACTCAGAGAGCTCAGAGGCAAGGGAATGTGTCAACCCTGACCCGCAGCATTTTAGTCATCATGTCCAATTGGTGAGGACACTCATTCAGGGACCAGGTTTTAGAGATAATACTCTGTAATACACTTTTGATCAGATGGAACCATCAGAGGGTAAAAGCCCTGTCTGTCTGCATGTCTCCCTTGTCCCTCTCGCTGCTCCATCGTCTCTCCTCCTCTCAAAGGTTTGACCAGCCTGTTTACTCTAAACACGAGGGGGAAACGAAGGGAACAAGCTGTGCCTGCAAAGCAGAAAACACCCCTGTCCTAATGTCCCCCTGCATCTCGATGTTCATCATTCACCATTTAACTCCTTTGCTTCTCCTCCTGTCATCTCCCTCTCTCTGCTGTTCTTCAATTTCCTTCATTCTTTGCGTCGAGGCTTTGATTAAATCTCCGTCCTGGTTCCCAGCTCAGCCTCGCGATGATGAGGTACGGATATTTCAGGTTAGAGAGGCTGCTCTCCTCGCTATGGGGAACATGTAATTAGTCTTTCACTCTGTCACAGAGGTGTTAGCATGGCACAATGGCTGGCAAGGTGCAAAATGGAAAAACTACGATGCTGATGTATCACTCTGAAGGTCTGGGGGAGGAAAAGGGAAATATGGAGCGAAAGCAGGGACAGAGAGATGGACATTAAAATGTGTTTGTCAATACGGACGTCAGGTGAGGTTCCTCTCTACCTGTCCAATATCAGGTCCTGTGCAAAAATGAGTTTTCCCGGGCAGTGGATGGACCTCCAGATGAGCCCGATCATAAGAACCTCCAGCCACGAGCTCTCCAGCAGCAGAACCTGATCATGGAGAGACAGCTGCAGAAAACCTGGACAAGACACACGCAAGAAAAAAAAAAATCTTCACGGGTTTGCTTTGAAAGAACACGTTTCTTTTCACTTCCATTGCACAAAACCTACATGATCCTATTATTGCTGTGAATGAATCTTCTTCCAATCATTCTTAAGGAGTCTCATCACTGGCTCTCAGCTGGCTTAATTCTGGCATAATTACAGCTAATTTATTCCCATTGTTGCCCCCTCTGTCCCCTGTTTGGGACCACTTGCACTTAAAACTGTGTATCTTTGTTTTTTTAGTGACTCACAAGGTTGTAATATCTCAAAGTAAGGGTTTACTCTTCCAGCCTGATGAATGTGCTTGTGTGCTTTAATTGTTACGTGAATGATACACAGATATATGTACCGCTAAAGAAAAAGGGCTCTAACTCTCTGGCCCCTCTGTTTTCATGTCTGGAGGACATAAAATCCTGGATGGCTGAGAACTTCTTAAAGTTTAATGAGGAAAAGACTGAGATGATGGTCTTTGGAAGCTCCACTGAGACTCCCAATATTTATATATATAGATGTTGGTTCCTTGGCCCAGTATATCAGGCCAACCATTACAAACCTAGGGGTCAAGGTCGATGCTGGACTAAAGTTACAAAACCACATCAAAGCAGTTAAATCTAGTTTCTTTTTTCCATTTGAGGCAGCTGACTAAAGACGATTCTTTCTCAGCTGCATTTCAAAACAGTAGTTCACGCCTTTGTGACCACTCGGCTGGATTACTGTAACGCACTCTATACAAGAATGTGATTCATGTATCTCTCGGCTTCAGAGGGTACAGAATGCTGCTGCATGGCTATTAACCGGCACATGAAAGTTTGACCACATTTCTCCTGTTTTAGCCTCCCTGCACTGGCTACCCGTACATTTTAGGATTCATTTTAAAACTAATTTATTTGCTTTTAAAGCTCTGAATGGACTTGCCCCGCCCAATCTGTCTAAGTTGCTATATCCCTACACACCCTCTCTCTCAGGTCAGCTGATCAGCTTCTCCTGAGTGTGCCGAAGACAAAGCGTAAGCTCAGAGGAGACTGTGCTTTTGCTGTGGCAGCTCTTAAACTGTGGAACGACCTTCCCTTGAACATCAGACAAGCTTCTTCCCTGTTTGCTTTTAAATCCCTGCTTAAAACTCATCTCTTCTCGCTGACCTTTGACACCATATGACATGTTGACTTTTAATTATTTAAATTGTTCTTTATTATCTGATTTCATGACTGTTTTATTATGTGTAAAGCACTTTGGTCCTGTGGGTGTTAAAGTGCTCTATAAATAAAGCTGGTATGGTTTGGTATGGTTCGGTGTGGTATGGTATGGCATTGTACGGTATGGTATAGCATGGTATGGTATGATATGGTATAGTATGGTATATCATGGTATGGTATGGTATGGTATATCATGGTATGGTATGGTATGATAT